GGTTTAGACTAGATATAAGGAAGAAGTTCTTTACCCTGAGGGTGGTGAGGCACAGGAACAGGCAGCCCAGGGTGGTTGTGGATGCTGTGTCTCTGGAAATGTTCAAGGCCAGGCTGGATGGAGCACCGAGCAACCTGATCCAGTGGGCGGTGTCCCTGCCATGGCAAGGGGGTTGGAACTAGATGATCTCTGAGGTCCCTTCAACCTAAATCATTCTATGAATACATATACGTATATATGTGTGTGTGTGTGTATATATATATATGTTTGTTTCAACTTCAAGGTCCTTCAGAGCCTTTTCCTCCTACCCCCTTTATTCTGAATTGGTATTCAATCTCTGATTGGCCCAGGGAACCAACTTCCATAACTTAGCTTCTCTTTTCAATCAATGCTTATTTCTTTCATCTCCTTCTCACATTTCCTTCATAAATATCTTCAAAAACATTTTCTGTTTCTCATATTTTCCAAACATTTGCCATAAATGAAGATGTTCATCAGACTTCACTTATCATGATGATCAGTGTTGTATGTTTTCTATACTCTCCCGTTTTCTTCTATCCATATGCATTCCATTGTATTACATTCACATTTTTAATTCTTTGGAGGAGAGACTATTTTTTTAACCCAAACTGGAATGTTACTACAGCAAAGTGTGAGTTCGCCAGTCTAGTGGGAGGTGTCTCTGCCCATGGCAAGGATGTTGGAACCAGATGATCTGTAAGGTCCCTTTCAGCTCAAACCATTCTATGATCTATGATGGTTCTATGATTATTATGGTGGTGACAATAACAATTAGGTGCATTTTTAATTCATATTTTCAACTTACCTAGTATCTTTTCAAATGCTTTAACCTTTGTCATTAGATTACACAGAAAATATCATTTTGTTTATTCTGCACAATCAGCATCTCCAGCTTTAGCTCTATTTTTCTCTCAATTTCCACTGAATAAAATGGATTTGACATTATTTTCTCCGGATGCAATTGTTCACATTTTACTCACCTGAATCTTTTTGTTCTCCCATACTCATGCATCTAATCTCCCTAAATCCTTTTGTACTATCTCTATCCTTACTCATTTGTACAATTCCTCCCATTTAAATATAATCCGCAAATTTTATTGACTTTTTGTATAATTCCTTTCCTAGCACTCCATTAATGAAAACAGCACATAGGACCAGTTTTAAAACTAATCAAGTGATACATGAACAAGCACTTTCTGTTATTTGTGTAGGTTGTGATCCAATAGTGTAGATGTTTGTATGCACTGTACAATAATGCAGCTTACCTGGACTCTTAGAAAAAGAGGACAAGCATAACTTGGCAGATAGGTCACTACTTGTTTATACATTTGCTCCAAGTTTAATGATGTATTCTGCTTTAGAATAAGAGAAGCCATAAACTTCATGACCTGGGAGGAAGGAAGTGAGATGAGAATTTTGAAACCTGAATAAAGTTGACATTTTAGTAATGAATATTACAAAAAAAGAACTGTAGTTCATTAATAACCTAACAGTCATATATCATCTTCTGGTTTACAGTAAAGATGGAAGACTATATTCATAATTTGTATGGTATCACACATATTTGGAGATCACCCAAGTGATCACTTAAGCAATAATGCTGTAAATCAGCTTGGCAGGTAAGGGTAAATGGAGTCCTATGCTCAATACTAATCAATAAATGTGGATAAATGTCAACACCAGTCCTCTCAAAAACAAGAGTGCTAAACCTTCTTCCCAGATTAGCCAATTGTGTCTTCTCTTCAGTTTCAGCCTTTCTCTCTTGCCAATATGTTCTCTCAAAACTCTGCATCTGAATGTTATTAAAAGAACGAGAAATTGCAAGTTCTTACTGGTTTGTGTGTAAAGAGAGAGCACCGTGGGTCTAGAGGAAAGACCAAAATGGATAAAATACAAAAGCAATGAGCTTCAACAATCACAAATAACTGCACACTTTAACTGTCAGCTAGTCATAACAGCAGAGACATTCTGCCAACATTACCTTTTGTCTCCTTTTTATATTTTTTTGTGCTAATGCTACAAGACTTGTAAGTAATTTGATTTTGTTTATGTTCAACTGTAGCTATCAATAGTCACATAAACTGGGTAGGTATCTGCAGCTAAGTGCTATACATGAAATGAGAAGCTCTCATATTTTTGAGTCTGATTTTCAGTCATTCTTTATTATCATCTTTCTTGTTGTGTGGCAACACATTTTTCACATTTTAAACTGTTTTATCATCTCATGGTGGATTCACCTTGACCAATAAACAAACATCCAGTCAGCTTTTCACTCACTCCCTTCTCCCAGGCGATGGGAAAGAAACAGAAGAAAAGCAAGAAGACTCGATGTATCAAGATAATGGCAGTTTTAATGGGGAAAGCAAAAGCTGCACGCACAAGCAAGGCAAAACCAGGACTTCATTCACTATTATCCATCATGAGGCAGATGTCCAGCTACTTCTGTCAGGGTAGGGCCTCATTCAGCGCATGCAGCGGTCGCTTAGGAAGACAAAGGCTGTAACCACAAACGTCTCACCCGCTTCATTTTCCCAAGCTTTTATTACTGAGCATGGCATCATATGATATAGAATATCCCTTTGGTCAGTTTGGGCCCACTGTCTCATCTACCTCTGTTCCTAACTTCTTTCCCATCCCCACCATACTCACTGCAGGCAGAAAGCCTTGATACTGTGCAAGCTTTGTTCAGCAATAGTAGAGTGTTGATAAGTTATCAACAGCTTTAGCCACCAACACAAAGCACAGGACCATAATGAAATTTAATCTCTATCCCAGCCAGACCTAGTACATACTTCAAGAAAAAAAATGCAATTGCATTAATGCAATTTCTTTTTTAATCTTCTTTTTCCCTCTGTCCTTGTTTTTGCAATATATCCATTGAGAGATGGTTTATGAGGTCAAGTTAAAAGCAAAATAAGGCAGAAGAATGTCTTCATACACTTTCCTATAGTTACTTTAAGTCCTACCTTGTTGACATTTTATTTTGATGCATGGATGTGGATTCTCCAAGGATGTGAATTTAGTTAAGTCTTTAAACTTTTATTTAGATTATGCAGCTATCACAAATTCATGAAGGATAACTTTTCAAAGACACAAATCATTGCATACACATAAAAGTGTATGATTCACTGGCTCATTAGCAATGTGGTGGCATTTTCATTATCTACATCTACATTTTAGCTAGGTATTAAACAGATGACTCAGTCAGAAATGATTCATAGGTTTAATACATGAAATAAAAGTTATCAAGGGTTAATAACTAATCTAGCAGAAGAAAAATGTACAGCTAAAGCTTCTTTTACCTGGCACAGATACACCATACACATTTGCTTCTTGTATGAAGTCCAACATTACAATGACATCGGAAACTTCTGTAGTTGCAACATTCTCCCCTTTCCACCTAAAATGTTAAAAAGTAATTTATTCCCCTGAAAACATACAGACACCTCCTTTTTAGAAAACATGAACTTTACAAGGCATTCCATTGCAGACCAACAACACTTCAAATTTGTTCCCACTTGTCATATTAGTATATTGACCGCGTCAGTAGATGATACTTGCTTCAAATGCAATGCAATACTAACTATCACTGTAAAGCACAGTGAAATTGAAAACTTGCCACAATCTGATATAATGGTTCTCAGAATTTTAATATGTATCTAAATGTATCAAATGTGACTAGTCCTTACTCTTTGATACATTTTTCTTCAGTTTCCAATCTCCCTGCTTGTACCATCACTAAATACTATGCTTATCGGAAGGACTGTTCAAAGAGCTGTAATCCCTATAAAACATTCTGGAAATAAGCCATCTAGCTCCACGGTAAGGTTTTTACAAAATTAAGCCCCTACGACCCACTTCAAGATAATTATAAAATAATTATAAGAACAATAAACAGAACTCTTCTGGTTGAAAACAAACAGAACAATATTACTGTATTATGCATATCCATGTTTTTTAATTAAGAAATGTGAGAAGAAACAATGATTATACCTGAAGGTATCTCCAATCCTGTCCCAAAAATAAAGAAAATCCTCATGATCTTGAACCATTAGATCTCCAGTATTAAAATAAAGATCTCCCTTCTTAAATACCTCACAGAGTAATTTTTTTTCTGTGTGTCTCTTACTTCCTGCGTAGCCAAAGAAAGGGTTCTTTGCATTGACTTTCGAAATGAGAAGACCAGCCTCACCTATACAGAGAAGTTGAAAGAATGTAAACCTAGGGTGTCATTGCATTATTTCCTGTACTTTACATTAATATTAATTTGGTACATATGAATTTATGAGACTGGGAACCAAGTTTGGCAGAGTTCAGTATGTAAGATGCAATAATAAAAACTTACCTTTTTCCACTGCTTTACTATATCTGTGGTCACCTCTGTATGCAAACTGACCATAAAGACATAGTAAAATATTGTCCCGTCTTTTTATTTCTTCCTCATGGCTCACCAAAGAGATTTTCCCAGAACTGTCATCTACCAGTTGTAAGTTCACTAGTAGGTTTACTGTCTTAAAGTGTGCTTCTGGTGAATATTATGCCCCACTCCCCACACCTTACTGAATTTTCAGTGATAAGACCGAACTTCATCAGAAAAACTAGTGTTAATAAAAAGCAGGTGTTTGACATAGGCATTAAAACCATCATCAGTCTTATTTCAGAAGTTCTGAGAACACTCCTAAAGAATTTCCATTAATATGATAGAGCTTCATTGGTTTCTTTTTTGAGTAAAATATAAAAGTTGTAATATATTTTTTTTTCTCTCAAAAACAGGGAGAGATGTGGAAAGGATTATCCTGTTATGCACATAGACTATCAGGGTGTTAGTCTGCTGAAGATGGGATAGTTGTATCAACTCCTAACTCTTTTGGAAGCACCTTCTGAACAATCACACTTAAAAGTTAGATTACTTTCTATCAGAAACAAGAATTATAAACATGAAAATAAATAAAAATAAACACATATCCAATGATGTGTCCAAATTTTTAATTTAAGACTATTTGCTCATAAAAGAGCTGTTCCTTTTTTCCATAAATTGGTAGTGTTTAAGGTGAAAGCATTTAGTTACATGCTAGTATTACTGAAGCAATGATGGTCTGAAGATACAGACCATGGTAAGACAAAGGCTATAGACAGAGAAAATGCTTTTATTAGACTAACTGGTGTAATTTGAAAAAAAATTAGAGAAAGTGTCTAATTAGAGCATGTGTTCCCTTCACAGGTCAGTCTGACAACCCTACAGATCACTTCCTATAAAATTTCACATTTCAGGGACGGTATTTTCTTGAGCGTGCCCATCTCTGATTAGGACTTGTTACAGACCCTCTTAACTCCTTTGAAAAATCTCCTTCAGCTCCCTCTTAAAGCTGTCTGCCTGAACTTCAATATGAGCTTTCTCGCTTCCGCTTCCAGACATTAATTGCAGCTGTTACCTTCCTACGGCACAACAGAGATGCTTCAGTATGTGATGAACACTTTGAAAATAGGCATAATCAGGAGACACTAGATATTTGATAAGTATTTTGAAGACAGCTATAATCAAGCAACACCTTTTTTTTAAAAAAAGTTTGTTAAGCTTAATCAGTTCACTCTGAAACACATAATCTCTCAGCAAAAAGCATTTGATCTAATCCATCAGTCTTTCTTGTAGATGTTTTAGGCAATCGTATCACTATGTTACCCTCCTTTAAAAAATACAGATGTCATGTGTTGCCTGATCTAGTCGAGAGGTGACGTCCCTGCCCATGACAGGGAGGTTGGACTAGATGATCTCTAAGGTCCCTTCCAGCCTAGGCCATTCTATGATTCTATGATTACCTCCATATTCAGAGATAATATCATCACTTTTGAACTCTTCCGTAAATACATCCAGAGATCTCCTAACTTTGTCTAGTGACAGCACTGGTATGTTTAATCATGTTCTCTCCTAGATCAGAAATCATATTGCTTTTATTTTTTCAGAGAAAAGAGTAATAGTCGATGTTGGCGTAGTATAGTAATACAAGAGGAAGTCTCCTTAAAAAAATCCCTGGAGTATTTGTATTACAATCAAAATGCTGTTATATCCTCTTACAACATATACTTACCTTTCTTAACTTTTTCACACCAACCATGCTTATTTCTAATTGGTTCATCTTTTTGGAAGTCATACTTGATTAAATCAAACGGGAAAAAAAGCTAAAAAGGGAAAAAGGATCATCAGTTACCTACACACTGACATCTGGTGGCAGCAAACATACGCAAGGAAACCTTTACTCCAGTCTTGTTCATCTAGAAGAAGCATGTAGTTTCATTCAAAAATGAAAATACTCTGTATGTAAACTTACACCACTTCCTGGAGGTAAGCAGCATCAAAATATTTTTATAACCTTGTAACTTTCAAAAATACTTGAAGAAGCCACAGAAACATAATTTTGTTCTTTTTCTGACAAATAAGTTATGGGATCTACGTACCGGTGGAAGAGCCTATATGAGTCACGATAATAGAAGCATATCTGGAATTTATGACATTTTATGTGGTATATCAGCAGTCTATTTAACAACTTGTCAAACTAAGGGTATACAATTGTTTTCTGGGGAAATCTTGGCAAGCAGAGAAAACAATTTTTAGAACATATGATTACACACCTGCACTCTTCACAATAAAGTAATGCAATATAATTTAAGGATGGTGTTATGGAAGTGACAGAAATAAATGATAGGATGCCAAAACCACACAATCCTTTCCTATCCTGCATTTAGTTTAGATGAAGAGTGCGTAATTATTTTACCCTAATTTGAAACGTTGCTGTAACTTTTTCATATAATTTTATTCTCAAGGAAGTCTGAATAAAGAGCAGTCTGAGTCAAATGTTAAGCAGTGCAACTTCATAGTATTAACTGTACCTATTCCAGTTAGCTTTTCGAACTAATAGTCATGCAAATACACAATTAAAGGGAGAAAACACAACATATTTCATTAGACATGCAAAATGAAACTACACTGATATACATTCTGTGCAAACAGCTGTCTCTTTGCAAGCCGCTCTCTTTTCATATTAAATACTAAAAAATGAAAGCTCCAGAGCAAAGCATTTAGTCTGGTTACAGGCCTACATTTGTTTTATCTCATTATTCAAAATTTATTGGAAAAGAGGGCCTGAGCTGTGGAAGCATTACCATTTTATTTTCACAGGGTACTGCATACAGAATTCATAACTCTAATCTACATTTTACTCCCTGAAGCACCACATGAATTTACCAAAAAAACCCATGGTTTATCTAGCTGAAACATAAAATTAGTTAAACTGCAACATTATTGTCTATTACTATGCTGCCTGGGTGTTATCTAATAACAGGATCCTGTTCTCTGTGTGTGTCCTCCCCCCTTTTTTTTTCATTTATGGGAAATATGTGAGTTTTGAAAATAGTTTTGAAATTCCCAAAGGTTCAACTTAGAGTGAATGTTCACAGAACCTTCATCAGAGAACAAGGATCAAAAGCTATTGTATTTTATTTAGTAATTTGTTTTAGAAATAAGATAATTGTTGAATTCTCTAGGAGAATATCTGTTTATAAAACAAAGCATTACATGTAGTAGATTTAGTTCCAAGTATCTTAAAACTATGAAGTATAAAAAATAAATAAAACATTCTGGAGTGTAGTATCATCACATAAGTATTTTAAAAATATACTTGCAATTACTTATTTATACTGTGAAGACTTGATATATAGGTCCTCTGCACAGTTTTGTTAACCACAATAAACAAAACTTTAAAAAAGAACTTTTAAAGCTATGCTTGCTATTAACTGAATCACCACATATTATAGTAAAATATCTCGGAATACACTTGAAGTATCTTAGATTATTTTATTTCAAAACTAGTCAAAAGAGCAGAAACAACACTAATTTTCATTGCCCAATGAATTTAAGAGTTTTCATTGCTTGTATTAACACATGTCCTGTTCTTCCTGTGACTCCAGTTTTCCAGGGTCTTAAGATTTGCTTAAACCTAACTTTGTTTATTTTTAAACTAAAAAGTATCTCTTCTGCCACTTAAGTTCTTTGACTGTATGAAAAAAAGTGCATAATACTAATGCTGTGTTTCTGTGCAAAAGAAAAAATATTATACGTTGAAATGATTTATGATTTGTTTTAGGATTTAAATGCCTCTCAGCTCAAAGCTGATATTGATTCATACAGTTTTAAGTAAGAAAGATTTTGATTCGTGTAATACTTTGAATGCTTATGCTTAAAATAATGAAAGAAGTAGGTTAATAACTGAATAAACATTGGAGTGTTTGTTTATATGCTGTTTTTTTCAGGTGTACATGCCATGGGTTATTTTTAGCCCTTCTTACAAGCTTCCTCAGATCTCATTAGTCCTACTCTCCCATTATATATGACCTGCCATCACTCAGAATTTATTTCAGTAAGAGGTTTATATTTGATAGACTCAACTGACACTCTTACAGATTTTATCCATATCACATTTATATAAATACACAGAGAATGTATGCCATATATAATAAAAATAATAATTAATATCAGTGACATACATATTGTATGCAATACTGTATGCATATATATGTATGCAATATGAAAATATTACACAGTAATTTACTATATTTCTATGCCCATAAATTTAAATTTTACCAGATAAAAAGCTACTCAGAGCCTTCTACTATTCCTATTGAAGGTTTTATTCATAGGCCACAGTGATGCTTTCAAGCAAGTGAAACTATCCCTATTTATAGAGTACCATGTGAAAATAAACAAGTGCAAACAAGAGCACTGCTTCGAGTTAACAGCATATGCACAGTGGCCTCTTGGATGTCCAATAACTACTACAATGTTCATCCGTTTCTTCCTTTTAACTTGTATCTTACAAATCATTTATGAAGATAAATGTGTTATGTAGAACCTTAATATTTATCACCAGCGTTTGTCTAGAGGTCTTGGCACTTACTGGCAGAAAAGTTACTTTGGTCATTCTGAGAGCTCTATTTGTCTTTTAACACCGTAACTTTGAGCTGCAGTTCACCTTTAGAAACTGTGCCATGGCCTTACGTACAACAGAAACACCTTCCTACTTCTTTTCATTCTTCCCTGCTCAGAACATTACACTTTGAATCTACCTGCTATTACTCCCACTAGACTCTCAATATCTATACGTATGGGGTTTTATACTGCTTTTACTTCATTATGGCTGTGCAATTATACCAGAAGAAAAAGAGTAAATTTCTTCCTTCTCCTTTACTATATCACAAATATGAACACACAACCCTCTTTTCCCCTTTCTCAGTTCTCTTTCCTTCTGCCCACAGTGTAAGAAACAGGGGTTTAGGAAATCCCTAGAGGTATATCTGAGGATATCTCCTCATATTGTCCCAGCAGGAGACAAGTGTCCCTTTCTAACTTCAGATCATTCATGAGTCAGTAAATCAAAAATAAAGCTGCTCTTCTTTACATATTGCTAGATGTCCAGCAGATGTCATTCAGGCTGAAGTAAAACAAACACAACAGCTACACTTCAGAATGCACTGTTTTAACAATCTGTAACCTGTAAAATGCATTAAAAAACCCCAATATCAAATGCCTGGGATAAGTAAAAAAATGAACTTATCTATGGCATTAAAATACATAATTTGTGTCACAATACAGATTGCAGAGTAATCAAAAATGCATTAAAAAGGTCCCTAGGCTTAAGTACTTGTTTAAATATTTATTTTTTTTTAGGGGGAAAAAAAAAAAGGAAATCACTAAAAAGTATGTCTCATGATGCTTCCAACATTCCTTCTCAACCTCTTTTAGACTTTTGTGAAACTGCACTATGTCTAAGTCTTTGTTCATGTCAACACCACTCTGCTCTAGCATACGAGGGAGCTAGTGGCACCTGCAAACAAATGTCAAGAAGCAGTCTGAAGGAACTGCCCTCCAGGAGAACTACACAGGCGACAGAAGCAGAGCCCCAGTAACTAACAGATCTCAAAATTGTTAATTCAATACATATTAACAATTGTAATTTTATTACTATGGCATGTTGTTCCAATGACACAAACGCTTTCAGAGAGAGACAAGTATGTTGCACAACCATAAATGCTCTGGATCAAAACAAGTTACTTATGAAAAAACTCCTCATGGAGATTTGAAATAGTCTCTGAAACCACCTTGATTTGGAAGAGATTTGAGCCCATTCTATTTCCACATAAAACAGCCCATACAACCTACCCACTGACCTGGTTAGACAGACCATGCCCATGTAATCAAAGAGAGATCGTTTGTCTCTGCACCGAATCTGTTTTTCGGTGACAACCTTCATTCTTCCCACAAACTCTACAGTCATAGAATACCAAAGGTATCTACTTTGGGGGAAGGGTCAGGATCCAGTATGCCTCAGGCCTCTTGGAGAATGGTCGTAGGTAAATAATAATCCTGCTCACAAATAAGGTGCTTTAGCTACTTTCCTTATGACAGAAACTACGGAAATAGCTGAAGACTTACTATACATTTACTTCTAGGTAAAGGAGAGTATTGAAAAAGAAAGAACAAAATTGGTTTCAAGCCAAGCCAAATGGAATTAATGTTTTTTTTCTAGTTCTTAAGATATCTTTCCATATTCATCCTCAGTAAACAAGGGGGCAATCTATTATTTTCTTAGCAGACTATACTGATGTTTCCACGGACTATAACAGCTCCAACTTCAGACAGTATAGTATATAAACCATAGAAAAGATGTCTAATGATATGAAGTATTCAGTTACAACTGCATTTATATTTTAACTGCAGTTTGCATGAGCTATATTTATTCCTTATCTGCAGTGACTAATGCAAATCTTAAATCCAATCACTAAAGCGGAAAAAGTAGCAAGTTTCATGTGCAAAACCCCCCCAAAAACCTAATCTAATCTGCCTTTTGGAAATACAAACAGTCTAAATTAAGGACATAGGAAGGGCCACTATCAATACATGCAAAACCCTCACGCTACTTGATTAAAACCACAGATAATTAAATCCAAAAATAGGTAATTTCAAGTCTAATCCTTTATATGCTTTATATAATTTTTACATGGTATTTCTAAAAGGTTAATGATTTATGACAAAACTCTGTCAAAAGTTCTGAAATACTGAAAATAAGTTTAATCAAGTTTGGAACAAATGTAAAATTTCGTAAGATTTAAAACCAAAATCTTTTAAAATAATTAAAATGTGTCTTGAAAAGTATGAATTAAAAAATTAACACAGCTCTAAGGACACCTACTAGTCCTTAAATTCCAGATTCCTGATTTCCTGTGGTGGATCTGTACCCTTCTAGAGACATCCACCAGCACGAGATGCCCCACTGTGCGTACCACAGAGCATCAGTCACATAGAATCAACAGAGTCAGTCTGCTTAAACCTCTGGGCCCTCGACAGCTTCTGAAAAACAGACTAGCTTTTGTGGTGTGTTTTTTCTGAGTGTTTCCAGGTTCCTCCCCACACTCTGGCTTCCTATCCCAGAAGTGAACAATTTCTCCGGCCTCGAGTTGTAACCTAGTCTGAGGTGATCGCAATGTCGTGATGCTATATTGAAGTCATGGACCCTGGAACGTATACTACCTAGAAACCAATTTGCACATCATTAGATCATATCTCTGATGTATTTCCTAACAATATTTTCATATCATTCTCTGAAAAAAAGGACATTTTACTATCAGTTCTTCCCAGGAGCACAGATATAACTTAAGTCAGCATGATTTGTATATACAGATAGGTATCAGCACAGAGAGGTATCTCAGTTAATTGGCAGATTCTAGTCAATTCGTGTACTCTTATTTATTTCAAGAAAGGTGAAAACTGGTGAAAATAACAACATAATGTTAAAGCTTTACTAAAAAAATTTTTCATATTATTAGCTAAAGCTTGGGACATGTGTTACTTACTGACTTACCAAACTATTTAAGAGATGGTATTAATAGGATCCAAAGGGAAAAAACTATCTTTGAATTTCAAGCTGAAATAAATTCTTCCTTATTTACTCAGAAGGATGAAGGAAAAGCCATCATGTGGGATATAAATAATATGTATTCCTCTAGTTTTATCTAGTTTTAGTAATGTAGTACAAACAAAGACATGCAGCAGATGTGGTAGATAAAAGAGCATAGAATTTTAACTAATTTGAATACCCTTGGCAACTATTGGCCGTCACAATTACTCAGCAGTGATAATATTTGTATTGTGTTATCTCTGAAACTTCTGAATAGCAATACAGTCTAGATGTAGAGTTACTTATGTTTAATTGCACCTAGGTACAAAATATCTCTTACGGTTATATATGCCTATATGTTACTTTATTTTAATTATTATTAGCTCCTATCTATGCCAAATACTTACAGAGCAATATGCAACATAAATATACCCTTTGAAAACAGCTTAAATATAACTCAGAACAAGACACTTGTATTTTTACTTCAAAGATGGCAAGTTCTTAGGTATTATAACAAATACAACTTCCTCTTTTGTCCTTTTATCCAATAAAGACTTGAAAGACTGTCAGATGAGAGGCAAAGCGTTTCTGACACTGTCTGCAGTCCTTTGGCAGCCAAGATTTCCCAGAGGGTCAATTAAACTTGCAATAACTTAAGTTAGAAAATTTATCTTGAACTTGTGACTGCATCTCCTTGTATGGTGGTCAAAGTCAGAAATGCATTTACCTTGAGCACCCTCTTTTACAAAGTACAACGTAAAAAAACCAGTCACCTTATAAAAGAAATTGGTGCGTCCAACAGATCCAATTTTTCCTATGTGGTTCATGAAACAAATGTTTCCTTCAGTAGCACCATAAAATTCACAGATCTTAATAGCACCAAATCTGTCTAAAAACTCTCTCCATACATCATTTCTTACTCCATTTCCAACTGCTAGCCGGACTTTGTGATTTTTTTCTCCTTCCTTCTGTTAAAAAAAGGAAAAAAATATTAAAATATACTGATAACTGCATTTGATTATTGCATATATTGTGGGTAAAACATATCTTCTTTAAATACATCAAGTATAAACAGGAAAAAAGTAAAACAACTAAGAAGTTAAAGAAAGATGGCATAGGTCACCTACAGCTACAATGTAGCAAACTTCAATCAAAAACCTATTACCTTGTTGAACGAAGAAATTATTTTCTGAATAAAAGCTACATTAATTTAGATAAAAGCTTCTGTATTTTAAAAGTTGTATCATCTAGGAAAACTGGGAAGAACCAAGAAAGGCAGGAATTATTTCTGACACGGGATTAAAGCCAGCAGAGATTAATACTTACTTCCATGTGTTCTCAGACTGATTCTAAGAAACAATCAGATTTCACACACTTGTAATACCTCTTCCTTCCCACACACTGAGTATGAGTCATCTGTATTTCTCACAGTATTAAGACTTGCAAAGTTTTGTTCAATGTTAATTGGAATACATTATTTCTCGGCGATCTTGAGTGTACACTGTTGTCAATTTCCATGTTTTATTCCAAGAAACACACAGTATGTGTTCATCCAGTTCAGTGCGACTAATTTGATTAACATATTCCCAAACCTTGTAACTCCATAGAGCACCTCTGGAATACAATCAGATTTAAATCGAAGTATCAGAAGGCAAAAGACCTCAAATGTTAGTTTACTTTTTTTTTATTTCACCTATTTAAAAATAAAACTTTTTAAAATCATTGCAAGAGGCAATATAGAATTCCCTAGAAGTGAGAGAGCACAAAATAAATATAGTTACGGTTTTTTGCCACATACTTTTAGAACTACGTAGCACTCTGGTATTCCAACATTTTCTGTAATACCCTATATATGTACACTGATGCAAATGTATACAAACACCTCTATATACATATATATGCAGATATTCACACTCTTGATTTATATGTGTGTGCATATGTGTATATATATACACATACATATACTACAGAAAGCAGAGTGTCCCTGTTTTCTGTTCTTCTATTCTAGTTTCCTTTTCCCATCCCAATTCTAATCGAGTAGGAATCAGGTATGTCTTTACAGTGAAATCTATTTTAGCACCATTAATCTGGCATAAAAGAAAAGCAAATTACTTCTGGGAAGAAATCAGCTCAGCTGACCAAATCAGGGATCTTTGGATCTTAAAAAAAGGAGAGTTTCTACCGAGTACATAGACTGGAGTGCTCTTCAGAGGTTTACATCTTGGCCAAATTCAATTTTTCATCAGGATTGTGAACTCCCAGTTCTCACTTATGTAAAAAAACCTAAATTTGCAAGCACAGTGAAATTTTAAGTTCCTCCTCTAAATCACAAAGATCGATTAAGTTTTTTCTTCCCTCTTCAAAACCCATAACTCACAGAAAGATAAAAAATTTCTTCACTGAGCTTCAGAGTCTTTCTTCTGGAAATTAAGTCCTCTTGCTGGAATGATTCAGCAAGACACTCTCCTATTTCACCAGATGCAGATAGTTCTTGGCACATTATAATCCCAGGCATTATCCTGCTATTTTACTTGAAAACTGTATCACTCACTAGCCTCTCTCGGTAAATAACCACTCTGTTTTTACAACCCAAGTCTTCCCTTTTCCTTTCTCCACTCCTACCTTACTTCAAATGCAAGAGTCATTTCTAAACACATGAGCACATACTTCACTGACTTCAAATAAATCATTAACAAATGCTGTGTTACACAGTAAGATGAAACTGACCGTCAATATAACCTGAAACACATTGTCTAAAAATTGCCCATAAATGTAATTTTTGGAGTGGTTTGTTTTTTCAACTTCAGATGCAATATCCCACTGTAATGGTGTAGATTTTCATATATCTGAAATAATACGGTCTGTTACATTACACAATCAAAATCATTATGCTGTGAATGAACAACAGAAGTGTTCCTTTTTTTTTAAGAGAAAGTGTTTCAGTGCTACTTTGAACTTTGTTAGGAAAACTTTTAACTCTTTTTTTTTTTTTCCCGAAAATTGTCCACCATCTTTACAATATTCTAGTCAGCTCAACTTAAAACTTTTCAAAGTGGGCTATTTCCTTACAGTTCTATTGCAAGACTGAAATCAATGTGTCAGTAACTGAACTGTAGTTACCCTTCGCTGATGTCATTGAATTATTCAAATGTACTGGCTCTGCTAAGACACAGAAAATCATAACACAAGAGATTGTTTCACAGAAGTCCTTTGTTATACAATAAACAGCAGAAACAAGTATGTGTGCATATATACACACACTAACCAGGTCATTCATCAGACTAGGAATATTTAAAATCTCTAAGTTAGTAAGCAGGTGAGTTTGCTTTTTCATTATTTACACTTCAAGAATTATAGAAGTGTTAATGGCTGTTTGCTGAAAAAACACAAACTAGGACCAACTAGAAAACTATGGCCTACAAGGAATATGTTTTGTTGCCTTTTTTTTTTCCAAAAGAGCAAATAGAGCATCATTTATAAGTGCAGTTACTTCAATACTTGCAATTCCTCATGTTATTTTGGCTGGTTTACATTACTACAGCACAAAGTTGTTTCTCTAGTGGAAAAGACACAGAGTAAACCTGACAGGTCAGCATTTTACTCTGTTTGCAACATTAAACCTATCAAGAATACAGAGTACACCACCTCACTTCAGGAAGCATTTTCTTAAGGCATTCAGCCTTTTTGCAAAAATACAAAGAAGGTGTAGGATGTCATCAAGAAATGATTACAGAAAACAAGTTTTCATGAAAGAGTGGGCAGTAATTCCCTTCCTCACAGCTAAGGTAGTTTTTCTATTAGATTGTAACAAAGTTTAAGGCTGGGCCAGACACTAAACTCTGACAGATGCTCCCTGTGATCCCACCACCAGCCTCCCATGGGAGGATAACAGGGGAACCATGGAGAGACCTTGAGGTGGAGAAAAATAACCTGAATCACTTTTAATGAAAAAGAAAACAATACTAACAATAAAGACGTTGAACTCTATACAGATATTATCCAAGTACGCAAATACATTCAAAGATACAAGACAATATGTTAATGTGGAACCCACGCATTCTGGATGTCAACTAGGTCCCAAGCAGAAGAGTCCCAGACTGGACATGGCAGCAGACAGGAGCGCCTGAGCCCAGATTCCTGATGACAGTCCCAAAAAACCAGAAAAGGAACGCTTGGAAGAGCTGTGCCACTCCCAGCCAGGGAGGCAGGGAAGATAGCCTGTCCAGATAAACAGTCCTCCTCTGCAGCATGAAAATAGGAGGCGGTTGCATGGAGAGATGACAAAAAATCCAAAGCAATCTCTCCAGCAGAGGAGTCACCTCTAAGGGGCCCTTATATACCGAGCACCATGGGAAGGGATGCTGTGATTGGTCCATTTGGGTCACCTGACTCATCTTCTCCTCCCCCTAGGCACAGCTGCCACCTCGCCCTCACTGTGGTTGCCACGTGTGTGTGCCTGGAGGCTCACAGAATTTTCATCCTGGTGCTCTCAAATCAGCGCAGATTGCATTGCCGCAGCTGCCATGCTTGTGATTTAGTGAGCTCCAGCACAGCTGTACCCACCTGCTGATAAAAGACTCCCTCAAGAGTACTGCAGTGCCTTCTGGGCGAAAGGCATTAAAACTGTAATGCATTTAGCAGTCTTTCAACTGTACAAATGGAAACTACATGTAATTTAATCTTCCAGCAGGTTTAGTAATTATTAAGAGAATTATTATAATGAGGGGAAACATTAAAGAGTGATAACTTACATTAGTTTTACATACAAGTATATTCATACAGCTATTTTTCAAGTATTTTACCTATACTTTTGTAAAATACTATATGACATGATCTCATATTAGTTTTATGTGTAAATAATTTTCAGTGGAAAGTAAACTACAGTAAATAAAACAGAGTTAGCACTTTAACACCTTTTTCATGACTCTTTATATTCATCATCTATATTATTGTCCAGATCACTGCCTGAGTCCAATGCTAGGACAGGCACGTTGGTATCCATGGGCCCTGAGGTGTAAAACTTGTGCAGTAAATAAAAGGCAATGAATAGGAGAAAGGATGATAACTCCAACAAATTCTAGAAACATGGTAGAGTGATGCACACTTCAGGTGTCTTAATGTACAAAAATCAAAATAAATTAAATATGGAAGAACCTGTGCTTTAAACAAGACTATAGCATAAACCAGTCATGCTTTGAACTTCTGCCATATTCAAATGGCATTCCATCGGCTAGCTTCCCTCCAGCACAGCAGATAGAATTATAGGAGTGGGAGGAATTCCAAGGAGTCATCGAATACACATCTCTTTTGGGAGATAAGCTCTGTGACCCTTTGGCAAATCAGTCAGTCATGGCGCAGCAGCTGGTATGCAGCAACTGCCAGCATGCGTACCCTTAGCCTGCTGCAAAAGCATAGTACCTTGTTAATGCTTCCTTCGCTAAAAGCTATGGTTTCCTCACGATGTCACCTTTATAAAGGACTCAGTGCCTTGACCTGGCCAACTGTCACCAGCAAGTTCAAATACTTCATGTCCCGTGACAACTGGCTCATGCTCTGTGCTTCTGAATGCAATTAACAGCTCTCTATAGGTAATTATGAAGGCAGATTTTTAGAATAATAGAATATTAGAACACCTTCCTAAGATTTTTTAAATTGTCTATTTATTTATTTTCCTGCACTTTGACTTTAGTTTCTTACAGTGATTCTGAAAAAAATTGAGAATTCAGTCTACATCCACTTATTTCTACCAGTAAATGTGAGGGATTTTTTCCAACGCCTTTGTGAAGCATTAATATGCAAGAACTGTTCCCACCTTGCACCTGGATTTTTCTTCATTCTGCTAAGATCTTTGAACCATATGCCAAATATCTGCATAGATCATAAATCAGTTTCTGACACACTATTTCTCCATTTTGTGTGCTTGTTTCATTTGTATAGTAATTAACCAACAAGTCAAGATCTGCCTTAT